TTAAAATATGGGAATTCTGCTACTGTGATATTCATTTCCTTTCAGAAATCAAGTACTATAATATCATTTTCTCCTTAAGAGAAAGAACTCTGAACTACGACACCTTTATCCGTTTCCACTTACTAATGTCATATCGGCTGAGTTCGGCATTGCGTTTACCAAATAGCACTTCTTGGTTAATTGACAAAATATAATTTAAAACAAAAGGGAGATCACTCTTACTGATGTATTTAAATATGCCTGAACCGTTGATGAACTATACTATATTCGTATACATATCCATTGTTTATTTCATGTAATGGAATAGCTTTGAAACATAGTAATAAAAATCAGCTGTAAATCATCATCACTAATAGCTGTAAATCATTGTCACTAATAGCTGTAAATCATTGTCATCAACAGCTGTAAATCATTGTCACTAATAGCTGTAAATCATTGTCACTAATAGCTGTAAATCATTGTCATCAACAGCTGTAAATCATTGTCATCAACAGCTGTATATCATTGTCATCAACAGCTGTAAATCATTGTCATCAACAGCTGTAAATCATTGTCATCAACAGCTGTAAATCATTGTCATCAACAGCTGTAAATCATTGTCACTAATAGCTGTAAATCATTGTCACTAATAGCTGTAAATCATTGTCATCAACAGCTGTAAATCATTGTCATCAACAGCTGTAAATCATTGTCATCAACAGCTGTAAATCATTGTCATCAACAGCTGTATATCATTGTCATCAACAGCTGTAAATCATTGTCATCAACAGCTGTAAATCATTGTCATCAACAGCTGTAAATCATTGTCACTAATAGCTGTAAATCATTGTCATCAACAGCTGTAAATCATTGTCATCAACAGCTGTAAATCATTGTCACTAATAGCTGTAAATCATTGTCACTAATAGCTGTAAATCATTGTCATTAATAGCTGTAAATCATTATCATCAACAGCTGTAAATCATCATCATTAATAGCTGTAAATCATTGTCATCAACAGCTGTAAATCATCATCATTAATAGCTGTAAATCATTGTCATCAACAGCTGTAAATCATTGTCATCAACAGCTGTAAATCATTGTCATCAACAGCTGTAAATCATTGTCATCAACAGCTGTAAATCATTGTCATCAACAGCTGTAAATCATTGTCATCAACAGCTGTAAATCATTGTCATCAACAGCTGTAAATCATTGTCATCAACAGCTGTAAATCATTGTCATCAACAGCTGTAAATCATTGTCATCAACAGCTGTAAATCATTGTCATCAACAGCTGTAAATCATTGTCATCAACAGCTGTAAATCATTGTCATCAACAGCTGTAAATCATTGTCATCAACAGCTGTAAATCATTGTCATCAACAGCTGTAAATCATTGTCACTAATAGCTGTAAATCATTGTCATTAACAGCTGTAAATCATTGTCATCAACAGCTGTAAATCATCATCATTAATAGCTGTAAATCATTGTCATCAACAGCTGTAAATCATTATCATCAACAGCTGTAAATCATTGTCACTAATAGCTGTAAATCATTGTCACTAATAGCTGTAAATCATTGTCATCAACAGCTGTAAATCATTGTCATCAATAGCTGTAAATCATTATCATCAACAGCTGTAAATCATTGTCACTAATAGCTGTAAATCATTGTCACTAATAGCTGTAAATCATTGTCATCAACAGCTGTAAATCATTGTCATCAATAGCTGTAAATCATTATCATCAACAGCTGTAAATCATTGTCACTAATAGCTGTAAATCATTGTCACTAATAGCTGTAAATCATTGTCATCAACAGCTGTAAATCATCATCATTAATAGCTGTAAATCATTGTCATCAACAGCTGTAAATCATTGTCATCAACAGCTGTAAATCATTGTCATCAACAGCTGTAAATCATTGTCACTAATAGCTGTAAATCATTGTCATCAACAGCTGTAAATCATTGTCATCAACAGCTGTAAATCATTGTCATCAACAGCTGTAAATCATTATCATCAACAGCTGTAAATCATTGTCATCAACAGCTGTAAATCATTGTCATCAACAGCTGTAAATCATTGTCATCAACAGCTGTAAATCATTGTCATCAACAGCTGTAAATCATTGTCACTAATAGCTGTAAATCATTGTCATCAACAGCTGTAAATCATTGTCATCAATAGCTGTAAATCATTATCATCAACAGCTGTAAATCATTGTCATCAACAGCTGTAAATCATTGTCATCAACAGCTGTAAATCATTGTCACTAATAGCTGTAAATCATTGTCATCAACAGCTGTAAATCATTGTCATCAATAGCTGTAAATCATTATCATCAACAGCTGTAAATCATTGTCACTAATAGCTGTAAATCATTGTCATCAACAGCTGTAAATCATCATCATTAATAGCTGTAAATCATTGTCATCAACAGCTGTAAATCATTGTCATCAACAGCTGTAAATCATTGTCATCAACAGCTGTAAATCATTGTCACTAATAGCTGTAAATCATTGTCACTAACAGCTGTAAATCATTGTCACTAATAGCTGTAAATCATTGTCACTAGTAGCTGTAAATCATTGTCATCAACAGCTGTAAATCATTGTCATTAATAGCTGTAAATCATTGTCACTAACAGCTGTAAATCATTGTCATTAACAGCTGTAAATCATTGTCATCAACAGCTGTAAATCATTGTCATCAACAGCTCTAAATCATTGTCATTAATAGCTGTAAATCATTGTCACTAATAGCTGTAAATCATTGTCATTAACAGCTGTAAATCATTGTCATCAACAGCTGTAAATCATTGTCATCAACAGCTGTAAATCATTGTCATCAACAGCTGTAAATCATTGTCATCAACAGCTGTAAATCATTGTCATCAACAGCTGTAAATCATTGTCATCAACAGCTGTAAATCATTATCATTAATAGCTGTAAATCATTGTCACTAGTAGCTGTAAATCATTGTCATCAACAGCTGTAAATCATTGTCATCAACAGCTGTAAATCATTGTCATTAATAGCTGTAAATCATTGTCACTAATAGCTGTAAATCATTGTCACTAGTAGCTATAAATCATTGTCATCAACAGCTGTAAATCATTGTCATCAACAGCTGTAAATCATTGTCATTAATAGCTGTAAATCATTGTCACTAATAGCTGTAAATCATTGTCATCAACAGCTGTAAATCATTGTCATCAACAGCTGTAAATCATTGTCATCAACAGCTGTAAATCATCATCATTAATAGCTGTAAATCATTGTCACTAATAGCTGTAAATCATTGTCATCAATAGCTGTAAATCATTGTCATCAACAGCTGTAAATCATTGTCACTAGTAGCTGTAAATCATTGTCATCAACAGCTGTAAGTCATTGTCATCAATAGCTGTAAATCATTGTCACTAATAGCTGTAAATCATTGTCATCAACAGCTGTAAATCATTGTCATCAACAGCTGTAAATCATTGTCGCTAATAGCTGTAAATCATTGTCATTTATATCTGTAAATCATGGTCATCAACAGCTGTATATCATGAATAGTTGTAAATCTTGAAGAGATTCAATTAGATCTTAAGACAAGAGGCCCATGGGACTTAACGGTCATCTGACAAAAAGCAAGCCAAACCTAGAAAGTGGGTTGAGGTCATTCATTTGAACAAACTTGGTAGCCTATCCTCCAAGCATCTTACAGGCCTAATATCAGCACTCATGGACTTTTGCTTGTTGAGAAGAAGTCGTTTGTATATTTTAACATATTTGACCCCTGTGACCTTGAAAGTGGGTCGAGGTCATTCATTTGAATAAACTTGGTAGCCTTTCCTCCCAGCATGCTACAGACCCAATATTGGCACTCATAGACTTCTGCTTATTGAGATGAAGTCCTTGGTATATTTTAACATATTTGACCCCTGTGACCTTGAAAGTGGGCCAAGGTCATTCATTTGAACAAACTTTGTAGGGCTCCATGCCAGCATGCTATGGGCCAAGTATTAGCCCCCTAGGCCTTCTAGTATTTGAGAAGAAGTTATTTAAAGATTTTAACATATTTGACCCCTGTGACCTTGAAAGTTGTTCAACGTCATTCATTTGAACAAACTTGCTAGCCCTTCATCCCAACATGCCACAGGCACAATATCAGCAATCTGAGCCTTTTGGTTATTGAGGAGAAGTCGTTTAAAGATTTTAACATATTTGGCCCCTGTGACCTTGAACGTGGGTCAAGGTCATTCACTTGAACAAACTTAGTAGCACTTCATCCCAGCATGTCACAGGCCCAATATCTACACTCTGAGCCTTTTGGTTAATGAGAAGAAGTTGTTTAAAGATTTTAACATATTTGACCCCTGTGACCTTTAAAATGGGTCAAGGTCATTCATTTGAACAAACTTGATAGAGCTCCATGCCAGTATCCTCTGTGCCAAGTATTAGCCCCCTAGACCTTCTAGTATTTGAGAAGAAGTTATTTGAATGAAAAGTTTACACACGGCGGACGACGACGGACGAAGCACGATGGCTATAGGTCATCTTGACCCTTTAGGGTCAGATGACCTAAAAACAGAGACTTTCCAGAAGACAAACAAAGTAAAGAAAAATACTGTATCAAACATCAGTTATCAAATACTTAATGACAGCTTAAAACCTTTCTTGTAGCAGAGTGATTTTTATTCAGCTTGAGCACTGTGAAGTAACTGCATAGACTTAAAACAGGAAGGTTTTTGTTCTTGATAAACCTTACACTAATTTTTCATTTTAGGGACTGGCAGCTTTATGTACATATATATATACAGGTGTTAATTACAGTACATGTGATAACTACAGACAGGTAATAATGTAACAGGTGGAAATATAGGTATATAAAGATTAGCTTGTACTTTCTGTATATTACATTGTGACCTCTGACCCTAATGGTGCAGTACAACCTTGCATTAACCCCCTGTTGAGAAGTCTAATTTCACACCTGTCTTCAAACCAAGTATATACAACTATGACCTACCTGCACCAAAGGCAAAGAAAAAGCTTTTCTTTGGATGGGCTTTGAGCAAGCTAATTACTCTCTCAGCCATCCTCTCGTTGCGTTTATTTATAAGTTCCAATCGGAAGTATTCGTCGATGAGTTTGGCAGTCTCCTGAGCACCCGGGGGTAGGGAGTTGTTGACGAGACTGCGCACCTGCGCTGTGTTTTGATTGAGGATGACAGCATTGAGGTCCCCGCAATTGTAGTGATATATGAGCTCGTCCGTAGTGTACCTCGTCCCTCCTTCCTCACTAGCCCGGTATGCCTCGTGCTGCCATAGTGTTTGATTCAATGCAAATAGCACCTAGAGAATGGAGAAAAAGAACTTACTGAAATTTTGGTACAATAATACTTATTGCTCTAATTTAATGGTATTAAAAGTATCACACAGTCAAACCTGTCTATAGAGGCCAGTCAAGGTAGCAGAGAAAAGTGGCCTTTATACATACGTGATCTTTACAGATATGTAACCTTTGAATAAATGTGGCCACTAAGGTAAATGTGACTGTATACACATTTCAATCTTCATGAGAGACAGATGATAAGAAATCCATTTTTTTTAAATTGTGATCACCAATTTTCCAGTTTTTTGTATTGTGTAACAAGTTTTAATTACCAGTGTCTCCTTGTCTAAATTTTCCTATAATATTGCATTGTGAATACTGAACTGACAAATACTGAGAAAGACTTTCATTAGATATTTCTAGTCTTTAAAGGCATAAATATTGCAAACTAAATTGAATATTCCATGTTGACACCAAAAGGATGAATTAGCATTTTGTCAGCTGATACCCTACTAAGAGATAGAGAAAAAATCTTCTAATAGGTCATTTCTATCAAGAAGCATCTTCTGTTCAGTGGCCACCTCTGTCAAGAGGCCATCTCTATCAAGATGCAACCTGTGTAAAGTGACCACCTCTGTCAAGAGGTCATCTCTATCAAGAAGCAGCCTGAGTTCAGTGACCACCTCTGTCAAGAGGCCATCTCTATCAAGATGCAACCTGTGTTCAGTGACCACCTCTGTCAAATTGCCACCCCTAGCAAGAAGTATCCTGTGTTTAGTGGCCATCTCTATTGTAAGATACCACCTCTCTATAGGACCACTGCTGTCTCCATACAAAAAAGTCATTATATATTATAATATATGGTACTGTCCATGTGTTGCAACTTTAAGGTCAGTAACAGTCCTCCAAAAACACATATTTCTGGAGTGCAGAGAAGGGAAATAACTCATATCTTAAGGTTTTGAAGAAGTTGACAAAGATCAGACACCAGTTTGCTAAATAAACTCCTGTCCACAAACACTCTGACAGACAGAAGGATGGAGATGAATGGACAGGTATCTAGATTCCAGTAAATAAAATCACTATGGTAAACAGGCTACTCAATACAGTGCTACATTTAATGACAATTACAATCTTCTGACCACAGAAAGTGGTCGGATGGATGGACAGACATTTTGATTCCAGTAAATCATCAAATATATCAAATATAATGTAACAATTTAAGAAGAAGATTACATTACATACTTTATATTAAGATAAATTGTATGACAAGAAGGTTATATTCACTTACTGTATGAAAGACATAAACACTGAAATTTATCTTATGCTGGATTCACCAGTTAAACCAACCAAGGATTCTCATTATCCTCTCGTACATTAAAAAATAATGGTTATATTCTGTATCTCGGTGTCCTATACCAGCTGGAACCATTGCTAGATTAAGTTACATTTCAAATTGAATAAGGCTAAATCCCAAAACCTTGCTACTGATAATATCAGGATCAATTATTTCTGCATTCTGCAATTTATCTTTCACCAAATATACCATCATTTGATAATTTGTCTTTTTATCGTCAGATTAATATCCAACTTACAAGTCCGACCAAATTTTAGAATCAATTTCAAGGACATGTATGCAGAGATAAAGAGTTAAGAGAGCAGTGTGTCACAGTTCACATCCATCAAGATTTTCCAATGATTTCAGAACTTGAATCTTAATTAAGGGAAGATCACCATAAAAAACTTTTAATGTGTAAAATTTGATATTTTTTTTATCAGAAGTGACAAAGGACTAATTCCAAGTGAACAAGATATAATGAAATCCTCGGGTTTTCTGATAATTGCTCTAAATAAATTCTCCAGTAATAAAATCTCTCTCAACACATTACAGCAATAGGCTTGATTGTATCTGCTGGGAGGTTTATCATTTAGTAATGGTAAAACAACCACGATTCACCAGCTAACCTTTTCATATAAGGAACATACAGACAAATGACTACATATAAATTAACACATTTTTCTTCCACTGTACCATTTAAATTGTATTACTACTGTTGGAATCGACCGCTGGTGAGTTACAAATTTACAATCAACATCTGTCAACACGTTAATCTCACTGTTTTATGGATGGTAATTCCAATATACTATTTTTTTCAAATATACCAGTATATCTACGGGCTAAAACAAATTACTTCTAACACATTAAATCTAATTGTCTCTAGAACAAATTGTTTGTACTCTCTAATTTTGTGTTAGTGTATTTGAAAATCATTATGCCACCTTCAAACTAGCCACAGGCAAATACATATCCAAAATTACTTTACATTCACAGGGTATGCTGGTACCCAGTGATGAAATCAACTTCAAACGTAAACCTGATAGTCGTGTTTCTATTGCAACAATTTTGAATCTTATCCAGCTGATTTATAGCAGATGTCAATGACAGGACAGTCGGAGTTCATTCAAAAAAGTATAGAGTACTACTGTAGACACTAAAAGATATTTTGGGTAGCTTGAAGTGAAATATCACAATGAAAGATAGGTACAGAGATAGATTTTGGCTGAAATCCAGGACTGGGTTTTCAAGAGTCTCACAACTTATCTAAAATTAATTCCAAAACAAATAGCACTATGTCTACAACTGGGTAATATCGTACAAACTCACCATGAAGTAAGGTATGTAGTACGCGACCACCTCTCCACTCCGCCTATACAAACTTTAAACTGTCATAGTTTTAGTGTTTTCCCTTCATAATACACATTCAACAGCTGAAGAGTTCTATCCAGGTATAGACACATGTTTAATACATACCTAATTTTAATGTGTGAAAATAATAAGATTTCAAACTTCGGAAAATGAAGAAGACTGCATGTATTTACTGGTACGTTACAATTGTCACTAAATATCAGAGAAGTATTGTTACAGTGAAATTATTACAGTATGAATCTAAATTGGAAGATTTTTCCACTGGGAATATTTTTGGAATAATTTTGAAAGATCTAGGAACGAAAAATTTGAATATTTGAATTTTTTTACTGTTAAATTAGACGTTTGAAATTGACATCAGTCTGGAGGTAATATACAAGCACATGTTTGTGTTTTGTAGTAAATAAAACATACTAATTTGCAAACATCTCTACATATTTTTCATCTAAATCTACAAAATATTACTTTAACTTCTCAAGATGGCTTTATGATGTTGGGAATAAACTCTCTGATCCATTTTGGATTGACTTTGAGCAAAACTTACAGAAATACAAATATTGAAAGTTTATATAGACCACATATAATGAGGACCAAAATTCAGCAATTTTCTCTGTCAAAAATGCAAAGTCATCAGGTAATTGTTAAATTGGTACCAATCACAAAGGAACTTAAAACAGAATTAGAAAAATTTAATTTGAAAATGTTGAAGGTTTAAAGCTAAGTTTTTATGAAAATGGACCACATGCAGGGAGAAAATTTCAAATTTCATACAAATTTTTATCAAGGTAATGAAAAAGCACGTAAAATGAATGTTTGACTTAAATGACAAACATTCTAAGGTTAATGACAATACCTGTATTTATTGTACCAGGAGTTAATTTATTGTACCAGGAGTTAATCGGCCCCTGGAGAGGCCAGGTACAAGGCATATTGGAGTCGAAGGTAACACCACATACTAATCAGAGACTAGCTGACCTTCTGTCTATGTTCTCCTGTTTCCAACAACTCACTCCCCCTCCCCCCCCCCACCCACCCCCACCCCCACTCCACCCCACTAACTTTTACCCATCATTTTGTAACATTAAGCGTTAATCCATCCATCTCACCATTCCCCTTTTCCATATTCTTCCTGTTCACCCTTCTTTCTCTCCCATATCCCTGTGTCTTGTATATTCATCCACACCTATATATTTCCCTTAACCATCTTTCATTCTTTTTTTCTTCCTTCTTACACACTCTTCCACTCCCTCTATACCTAAACTCTGTTGAACCTTGTGTGGTCTGTATGGCATTCAGTCCAACTTCCTAAAGAATTTTTTTCAGCTCCATCAGACTCTCATTTGTGACATCAGTCTGCTATAAAAACAATACCGATGTGGAATAGATAGCATTGTAGCCAACACTTTGGGGGACAATATAACACTATACCTGTAATTTCCTGACAAAGATGAAGGTTTACATAAAACTTAATACCCTATCATGTTAGAAAGGGTCGAACTTAACCATGATCCCAGCTTTCATCTCAGAGTCGCCATAATGGCAAGTCATGTCACGGTACTAAACACCTGAAGGTTCCAATAAAACCGTGCCAGTCAACCGTAAACCACCATGTCTGACAAAAAGACGAACCGTAATAATCAAGACATATGTCATAGCATTGAAGACAATAATGAGAGTTTATACTATTTGAACCAATGAAAAAGGGAGGTGTCCTAAAACATCATCTATCGCAGCTCTTTGTATCCACTTACCTCTCACAACTTTTTGTTTACTTTGTCTCATATATTATAGCTTTACTATAGATGTGCCTATCTTAGTGGAAACCCCATTCAATTTTTTTCACACCAAAGATATTGCAGTAAAATATGATTGTGATAATATCAGTTTCTGCATGTGGTTAATAAAGCAATCATCGTGAATGTCTTCATTCATCATTGCACTTTATTATTCAAAATTCATATTTCGCTAAAACCTGATCATCCCAAAACAAGTATGTTTAAATTAATTTTTTTTTATATAAAAATGATCATCTGATAGATTTTGCAGACTAATCATCAACATATTATTAATTAATAATAAACCATATGCAAGATCTTGATTTTCTATTTGGAACTCTTCTGTATAGGAGTTACATTTAATGCATATCTACCATTCAACCATAACTATTTCAACCAGATGTAAAATTCATTACTGGATTTGAAATGCAGTTATGAACAATTGTTTACATTTATATAATATTAAGCTTCATTAACATATAACAACAGACTTATCAAGCCCATCAATTAGTCGGGTATAATTAATGATGTCTACAGA